ATTGATTTTATCTTTTCATCTATAATCAGATCTTCATAATGATTTTATCCTTGGTTTTCTCAAGGGTGTTAGTGTGTCAATTGCTTCTGATTCTGATTTAACACTTTTGCATTGAATGCTTTCAGAATCTTTTACTCACTACTACAAAACATGCAAACAACAACGCCCGGTTCACCATGGTTCTTCCCAACACCGTGGTGACATCTCTAAACCCAGGTGCAAGTATTTTATTTTTATATTTTTATTAAAAATTGTTAGAATCTAATAACAGTTTCAGACATACCTGTGGTTATAGATTCCAGACTTTCTTGGGTTTAAACCTCAGTGCCCTCACATTTAACGTTAAGGTTCGTCTTTTCTATTATATTTATTTTTATATATATAACAAAGGGTTACGACAGCGGTTCTTTAGTTCACACATTGTGATACATTTATATATATCACCACGGTTGCTAACGTTAACTGTTATGAGTATTTTAATATATAAGCAAATTTACTCTCGCTCTTTTACAGTAGCGTTGTACCTTTCTCAGCAAAATCCTAGAACCCATTTTTTATCTTCTTTTTCATCATTAGCATCTTATTCTACAGTATATCCGTCAATCTTATTCTACTTACATAAAGGTATTATTCTTTTTCCTTTATTCTTTTGTTTTCGTGTATGTTGCTATTATGTTTCACATGGTTAGATAGTTTATGGTTCTTTTATTTTTGTATATTGTTCTATGTTGTTGTTTCCTATTATGTTGATGACAAATAAGTTTGTTGTTTCACATGTTGATAATTTTCACGGTGTTTGTAGGACTCAAGAAAAGTGAATGAAGAAACAACAACAACATCAAACTTCATCTAGTTTTAGAAGCTATGAAAAGAAATATAAGAAGTATGAAGTTATTGCGTTAACATCATCCACCTTATACTTCTTCCTCATGGCTTCACAAATTAGATGAAACTCATAGTTTCACGATTATTTTCAATAAAAGGTGTGTTCTATAAACAACTTAATATATTTTGTGATATTGTATGTTGTTAGGGTTTTGTAGCTAAAATGTTTGTTTTTATTTATTATTTACATGTATTTGTTGTGTTGTTGTATGGTGTTATTGTTGACAAATATTCTCAAAACAAGAACAAAACATTGTTAAGTCATAAGAAGAAGGCTTCTTGTGACTTAGTAATATGTTATTCTTTAAATTCTTATATAGGTTGACAAAAGATGAAGTTAAGTTTATTATATACTATATATATTGTTTGTTTCACTGGCCTTTTAATGAAAATTAAATCATTTATATTGACATAGAAACATATAATCTGAAAATTAAGATGTATTTGAAAACCAAGTTAAAGACACCACAATATTCCTAATTGCATGCGTCTCATTCAACATATTTTATGTTCCTTAACCCATAATATATAGTTCAATGGTAGGCTTCCTACAATACATCGATATCTATTAGTTTACTTTACCTCGTCATTGTCGCTTATCATCGTGATTGTTAAGATCATGATTGTTATGATGATAAGTCATCATAATAATCACGATGATAAACAACGATGATGAGTTAAACAAACATAAAAGATATCGATGTATTGAAGGAAACCGATCATTGAATCATATATATTATGGGTTAAGGAACATAAAATATGTTGAATGAGACGCATGCAATTTGGAATACAATGGTGTTTTTAAGTTGGTTTTCAAGAATAGTTTAATTTTCAGATTATATAGTTCTTATACAGTTAAATATTTGATATAACAATCAATATCAAAACCGAAGCTCTGATGTCAATTGAAGGTGCGAAGAAACATAAGAACTGGACGTTTGAATAGGGTTTCTTCATTAAAACTTTTTGCACACCCTAGAATACAAACAAAAAAGAATGCAACAATGATAAAAGAACAAAAGTATTTTTTATCATGGTTCCCTTTTAACTCGGTTACTCCAGTCCATCAATTAAGGTGATTTTTTATTCTCAATAAGGACTTAACCCACTAATCAAAACTTTGATTACAACCACAAAGACTAACTGTCAATGTCTTCTTAAGACTCCTGACTATACCCTAGTCTCTCAAGGAATTACAACTCAAAGACTATCCGTCAGTGACTTTTTGAGTAATCTGACTAACACTTAGTCACTCAAGGAAATTAGCCAAAAGGTTAAAAACAAAGATCGTGTGTTTACATATTTTATTCTACAATAAGCTGATTGCATAAAAATGAAGATTAAAAGATTACACATAAATGATATAAAATATAATGTTCTAAGTGTTTCTCTCTTTGTTGTTCTTGAATTTTTCTTAACACTTTGCTCTTTTCTTCTAGCTATGATGTTCTTTTTGCTTCTCTATTTACAAAGTGTTAACTTGGTTTTTTTAATCTCTTACGATTTTTCACGTTCAATCTATTCTATTTTCTCTCTTTATTCCAAACTTCCAAGACCTCTTTATATATACAAAGAAATAGATCAGTCAGAGGGTGAAGTCAGAATATCCATAAAAATATAGTTGTTGGAGATGATTGATAGTACATAGTGGAGTAGCATGCACCATGTAGTGGATGAGAGGATGAAATGAAGCAATACACATTGGTACAATAGTACTATCCTTTTTTAGATTTTATCAGAGTAGTGGAAGCAATATTTGATCTTGTTTTGTTTGTACTCTTGCCACATATTCTTCTTCTTGTTATTATCTTCTAGCCAGAGGGTTCAGATATAAGTTGTTGAAATTTTAGTAGAGTTCAAAGCTTATCTTCAGAACTGGGTGAAAATGAGACTTCAGAGTCTATAGAGTTCAGAGTCCTAAGACTCCAGAGACTTGAAATATCATAGTCTTTCTCAGAGTCATACAGATCTTGCAGAGATACAAACTTGATAATCTAGATGCTTGACTTCTGTTTAAACACGTCTTCTTGGATTTTCCTTTTGGTTCAGAGTGTGTCTTCAGTTTAGAGTCTGCCAATCTTCATATTCTATCAATCTTCAGATTTTGTCAATCTTCAAATTCTGTCGGTCTTTAGATTTTGTATAGATCAGACTTCAAATGTGTTTTGCTCAGTGTCTGGTTCGTCCATATTTGAATTCTCCAGAGTTAGAATTTGATATATATATATATATATATATATATATATATATATATATATATATATATATATATATATATATATATATATATATATATATATATATATATATATATATATATATATATATATATATATATATATATATATATATATATATATATATATATATATATATATATATATATATATATATATATATATATATATATATATATATATATATATATATATATATATATATATATATATATATATATATATATATATATATATATATATATATATATATATATATATATATATATATATATATATATATATCAATGATAATTGTAGAACCAAACTTGTTCCAACACCTACACATCTAAAAATTGTCTTTCATTATATTTTAGTAAATACAAATATATTATTTTTAAAAGTTATGTAATTTTGACTATGTTTTACTCTTAAATAATGAATATTTATATTAATAAATAAAAAATTAATATTTTAATTTATAATTTAAAATAATATTTACTATTTAAAAATCATAAATATACCTTTTAAAAATAAAATAAAAAATCTATAACAAACTGACCCTATGGAACCACATTGAAATCCATTAATTTTTTATGTTAAAGGTCCGCACCATTATTAGTTTTTACATAATTTTATACCTAAAATAGAATCCTTGATCTCCGAATATATCTACACTGTGTTTACTGTAAGTTAATTGTACACAAACCAATAATTTGAATAAAAACAATTAAATACTTTCTGTCGGTGCATCTAGTAAGCTTTTATTCTAAATGTATCGGCAGCAACAATTGTTCACAAAACTAATTGTAAATTTTGTTTTCGACTTTCACGCATAGACTCTGAGTTTGCTCTAGCCTATGACATTAACTGTATTTTAATTTGAGCTCTGATTATCAAAATTTGAAAATCTTCAACCATTCATCAAGCCCAAATTGACTAAATTAAAAGAATGATTATAATAAAAGATATTAAATTTTAGTTAATTTCAAGGATGAAATTGATAGTCAAAACTTTAGAAGGTTTGATTCCTCCACTTGCTCTTGGATTGTCCCATGCTTATGGGTTGGACTGTTTCTATTCAATTATTAACATGTGCCCCATTTATAGAAAATGAAGAAAAATAAAATCATTGAAAATGAAAGGAAACTCTAAATTCATGATCCCCAACTAGAAGCTACCCTTAGAAAAATACAGTCCATATATTTTTTATTAATAAATATTTTTTTATAAAAATAATTAAATTTATAAATATTAATAACTTATTTATATTAATACATAAATATAAATAAATGTTATTAAAAAATTAAATTATAAACCACCCGCTTACACAATTTAAGTCTATTAACACATAGTAATTAAGTTATGTCATCCTCCTTATTAAGAATATTTATAACAATGATTTTTTTATAATATTTGTGAATTTTGTTAGATAAAATTATAAAAAGAAATCAAGGGAGACAATTTTAACGAATGACTTGAATAAGTCCACGATGCATGTTCCAAAGTCAATGAGGCATGTTCTCAAGGTACCCAAGCTTTTAATTTTCTTCTAGAAAATAAAAAATAAAAATAGGGAAAATTTGAAGTCAAGGAAGACAAACGATAGCCACTATTAATGCTTAAACCAAATTTTCACTTAAAAGAAAACAGCGTCAAGAATGGAAATAGTCATCAATGGTGTGCCACCAAACACGCAACATCTCTTATAATATAGCATACCATAACACAAACAAAAACACAACATAGAAGACATTAAGAACCATTGCTCCACTTTTCTTCTTTGTTGCAATTATACACAAATCTATCTATCAATATTCAATTCAACAACACAATTATACACTTATTTTCTTTTCAATTCCTTCATTCATCACTGCACGCACACACACTTGAGGTAAAATGGGGGAAATGAGCTTGGCATCTCCATCTAAGTCGTTTCGGCTTCGAAGTCCAAGTCTCAACTCACTCCGTCTCCGGCGAATCTTTGACATGTTTGACAAGAACGGTGATTCGATGATAACGGTGGAAGAAATTAACCAGGCCCTCAACCTTTTGGGATTGGAAGCTGAGTTCAAAGACGTTGAATCCATGATCAAGTGAGTTTGTTAATCCAAATCTTTAATTTACACATTAATTTGATTCACATTTTACTTGATGGCTCTATCAATTTATCAATTGTGATTTCAATGTGTTTTTATTAATATAAAATTAATAGTGATAGAAAGTAAACGAATAATAAATTATATATATATATATATATATATATATATATATATATATATATATATATATATATATATATATATATATATATATATATATATATATATATATATATATATATATATATATATATATATATATATATATATATATATATATATATATTAAAAACATTTTAAAGATATATGAATATTATTGAATTGAATTTAAATAAATAAATAATAAAAATGTAAGTATGTTAAATTTGACACATCGTGTCAGGTCTTACATAAAGCCAGACATGGAAGGGCTAGCGTACGAAGATTTCGTGGCATTGCACGAATCTTTAGGGGACACGTATTTTGGGGTGGCTGAAGAAGTAGATGAGGATATACAAAATGATGATTTATGGGAGGCTTTCAAGGTGTTTGATGAAAATGGTGATGGTTACATATCAGCTAAGGAACTTCAAGTTGTGTTGGGGAAGCTTGGACTAGTGGAAGGAAACATGATTGATAATGTTCAACGAATGATTGTGTCTGTTGATACCAACAATGATGGTCGTGTTGATTTCAATGAATTTAAGGAAATGATGCAAAAGACTATTGTCCCTTGTTCTTGACCATATTTATGTTGTTGTTGTTTATCTCTTGTTGTAATTTTGTAATATACTCCTTGTATTGTTGCCATGCCAAATTCTTAGATTTTATTTCGGGTTATTTTTTTGGTATATACACATATAATGAATGCTCTTTCTTATTTGAACCAGTTGATCTAACTTAGTTGCAGTTCCCGGTCATAAATGATATGCTAAGTATTTGAGACTTTTAAATTTGTTCTTAATTTCATAAACTAGCATATGGTATAAAATTTGAGTCTATTTAAATTATCTTGCTTAAATAAGAGATGATTATAGAAGAATATACACCCTTTAGATATTATTCTAAAAGTTTTGATATGGGAAGATCTTTTCCTTCAAATATTGTTGGTGATGATGATAACATAGACGATTTCTGGTACAATGAACCTTCATGTATACATTCAGTGGTGGGGGTCTACCATCCAACACTCATACAATCAAGTTAGTGATGATAGTAATAATGAAGGTTATTATTTAGAATAACATGTACATGTGTCAGGATTGTTCCTTAGGTTTTATAGTCAGATTTTAGGGTTTAAAGCTCTTTAAATCTTCTTTATAGACAATTGTTAAAAGATCCTTCCAATTCTCATCATTTGACAGTCTCGAAAGGTCGGCCAGTCCTGCTAAGGTGTTCTATATGGCATGTTCATCTTTTAGCCTACTTTGCTTCCTGGCTTGGTTGACCTAGTTTCCTGTGGATTAAGTCTTGGCATAATCCAAAAAGGTAGTCTTCCAAACATTAGCTGACACGACAAGGTTATGACTTTGTTTCAAAGCTCTTATAGTTGATATGCATTTCCCTTGATGGTGGTTGCAATTACGATCCTTTATCGGATCTATTGAAATCATTCCAATAAGGAGTTCGTGAGTACGCACTCTAGAAGTCACTTATTTTATCTTAAAGTTTATTAGGAATTCTTAATGTACAATCAAAGTTTGTTGTCAAATTCATCTTTAACTATCACCAGTGGCGATTTAAGACATGTCTTGACCTTTTCCTTTCCTTTCCATATTTTAACTCAGATGCTTGAATAATCACTACCAAGATATCATTTAACGTTTGATACTGTGAAGTATACATGCATTATGAACTTAAGCTTTTTTACTTTAGGTATTGTTAGCCTTGGAAATTCTATATGAAGGATTATACATGGAATGATATTAACCATGTTTGAAAATGACTAAGTATGAGGAGACCAAGTCTTAGACACACTAGTGACATCGACTAATAAGGCTCTACTGATGTACTAGGCTTGGTTTGGAAGAGTCTCAGGAACTGATCCACAAAATTAGGATCACTCTTTCTTCAAAACATGTCCAGAATCTCGAAAAGGTTTGCATAAGTTTTTTGACAAAGTTTCAAATTCGACACGTTGATCAGATGTTGAAGACTTAACATATGTTTTCTAAGATTCGGTCAAACCAAGGATGTCTTAACAATACTATAAAAGTAAATCATAGACTCTCGACAGAGACAATTAGGGGGTTTCAGAGGCAGTTATCAGAGAGATAGTTGATTTGAAGTAGTTTAATCATAAAAGACGCGTGGAAGTAAGTTAGAGGATGGAGCATGTGTAAGGGAAAACATGTCAAGTTCTATAGAGATAATTATTGTCGGAGGTTAACATTGTATTAGTACATAAGTCAATCTCATTTTTATGGTTGAGTGTTGCAAAATTCATCAAGTATTCTCTATAGAACTAAAGTACTCAAGTCATAGAGAGAAATAATTTGTGAGATAATGTTTGAGCTTGCATACTTGTCTTTTACTTTTCTAAGTCTCTTTAATTGAAACATCTTATATTAATGTCATTTATTACACTTTTTGTATATTATTCTTATCCAAAATTTATTGTAAAAAGAGTTTATGTCCAGTTTGCCGTTATACAAACATTTAAATCCTAATTACAAATACTTTTTGTTGTATTTTTCTGCACAAATTGTCTTTGAGATCTTTTTGAATATAATATTGATCGTACCTGGCCAGAAGGGATTGTCAAAGCCCACAAGCTTCGAGCTGAGCAGCGGTTGAATATGAAGTGAGGGGGTACCTGCAAGACACTCTAATGCCAAAGTTAGGTTCAGAGCTATGCAAACAAGTGTGAAAGTAAGAATGAGAGATTGAATATCTGACCCTCTCAAATAAGAGGGTATTTATAGCCCCCAGCGCTAGGCCAAGATCCCAATCGTTGGGTTGGGTAAGCAGGACTAAAATGGAGACTGTCAGGTCCTACGTATATAGTGGGGGCCAACACGTGGTCCCCAACCTCGATGAACTCCTCTGAACTATCAGGAGGATATGTATGCGGTCTTTCTGGGACCATGAGGACTCTGTGATATTCAGAGGTGTTGAGAGTCAGCCTTACGAGGAGGGTGCTCGTAAGGTCCTTCTACTCGTCATGGACCATCCCTGCCAGCTGTGAGGATATCCTCAGAGGACTTGTCTTGGTCGACGAGATGAGTAGAGGATGCTCGCAAGGTCCTCCTGACCGTCTTCGGCTCTCCTCGCCATTCATGGGATTATCCTCATAGGAAAAAACCATGTCAACCAGAAGAGTGAGGTTACTGCTCTACCTAGTCGAGTGCAGAATCTGTCAGCATGCTTTCTCGTGTAGTGCAATCGGATTGGGCCTTGTATGCTGTTTTGACCAAGTGCAGGCCTAGTCCAGAACAGAGGCCTCCCAAGTCGTTTCTTCTGATGAAGGAGTTATGACTTAAATCCAACTTCTCCTCATGGAGAGCATAACTTAGCCCCGGGGTATTTCACTGCATCGAAGGAAGGGGTCGTCGGTATGCCTGGTTACTCGAGTAGGGGTTGGAATTGGCTTCACGGGGAATATTTCAGTTGTTCCTCGAATCGCGGGGAGAGGAAATTTTTCAGGATGTGGCCACGTTGTGTGACCTTTGGAATAGAAACAATGGTCTAGAAAGTAGGGGTCATTATGACCTGAGCGCGTAGGCAGCAAGAAGAAGGACGGTTGTTATGCTGCCCGACATGATGCTTCAGATTCCACGTCAGCTCTATAAATAAGGCCTCAGGGCTCATTTGTCACATTCCAACTCTCGCTCTCTCCATTCTCTCTATCGCCTTTGGTTCTACATAATTTGATATTTTCTCCAACTGCTAACACCATCAAAACCTCCACTGCGGACTTCCCACATTCTCTGATCAAATAAGTGTCTTCTAGTACTAATTGTTATATATGATTGGCTTTTCATAAATCTTACATGAATTTCGCTACCAGGGGGTTTTGTCTTTGGGTGTTCATACATCCCTTCGTAATAGTCACGGATGGGCCCATAAAATTCATTTATTCCCCATATAATTCGTGAATTTTCTCATGAGATTCATCTGCTCCCTGCAGAATTCTTGAATCGCCCGTGAGATTCATTTGTTCCCTGTGAAATTCGTGAATTTTCCCAGCAAATTCACTTGTTCCCCGCAGAATTCATGAATTTGACTGGAGGGTTTATCCCATACCCGCGACGCTCATGAATATTCAATTTGCCTTTGTCATCGTTGTGCGGTTGTTTGAGGCGCGCATAGGCTCCCCGTGGTGCTCATGAGTTGTATTTGTTTCTCACTACATGAGGGTTCGCTGACCTTGTTTGGTTGTAGCAGCCCCCTTTCACTTGTGTTGCGGTGGAAGGGTAAATTTGATTTAGCTGTCGAATTCACTGGTTTCCTCTGCTTTACAGGTAAAATGGCTAAAACCCTCGAGTCGTCCGAGCAAGTCGAGGTGGAAGAGACAAGCGTAGCCAACGAGGGAGTCCATTTGGTCGACACGATCGATGACCCTTCATTTTCATAGGTCGATCCAGAACCCCGAGGGATAGCCTTGATCTTCAATTACACTAGAAGGGAAGCGTACACCATTGTTGAGTATGGCGGGAATCAAGAAGGATTCCGTCGGAACTTCACGATCATGCGACTGACGCCTACGGCCAGGATATGCTCAAAATTCGAGGAGGATCGTTTCCCTATGTACAGGGTCGTTTTCAAGGATTTGGGGCTTCGTCTACCCTTTAGTGACTTCCAGATGGATGTTTTTAATCACTTGAAGTTGGCGCCTTCTTAGCTACACCCTAACACGGTCGCTTTCATTCGAGCTTTCGAAATTAGTTGTCGATTTTTGAGGATCGGGGTGACGATTCCCTTATTCTTCAGAGTTCTTCATCTCCAAAGGAAGTCCAGGGGAGGTAAACATAGTTGGGTTTCCTTCAAATAGTCAAAGAGGCTATTTCAGATGTATATGGATTTTGTTCACGGATTTAAGGATAAGTGGTACGTCATTTAGCCTTTGTCTCAAGATGTCGTGGACTCGGTGTTCGACACGGTTTCTCTCATGGACGAGAACAGGGAAGTGTGCTACGATGGGGATGGGAACCCATAGATTGGGAGACTCTCTAAATTCCCTATCCACTGGTGTCTGGGCCACTGCGAGCATAGTCTCGGCCATTACCATACCCTCACCGACAACATGAGTGTCGAGGGCAAAGAGGCCTTCGGTATTCTCAATTGATTCATCGACAGGTTCTTTCCCTCGAGGTGAATCACGAGGGAAGAAATGACATTCTTGATGAAGACGGAGAACCTACATTTGAGGCGCGCCCGATCAAAACTAAGGCGCTCGTCGAATGTCGTACCTACGGGCAAGCTGTGAATCTTCTAGGTTTCTGACTGTGTGATCCTATTGTATTTTTACTTCTTGATTTATTTTGGGTATGTCCTTTTAACCAGACTGACTCGAGCATGTTATTTTTATTTTTGCAGGTAACATGGCCGAACGTCCCGAACATCTTCTGAAGTTGACTCAGGAGAAGAAAAATCACAAAAGGTTGGTGAAGCCTAACCAGCCGACACGCCTTGGCCCGATTGCTGAGCCTACCAGGGATAGATCCAGCGGCTCATCGGATCCTCGCGTGGCTATGACGGGCTAAAAGAGAGGTCTCCCCAAAAGTGGGTCTGCCGACACGAT